GACCATTGAGAGGTTGGTTTGGTTTCAGTTTGCCGTGTTTTTTAACTGAATTTTTCGCTGTTGCAGGGAAGAAGAAAACCAGGACGAGTATCTGGAGCGTGTTGCGCATCAGTTGGCTGAGCAAGAAGAAGACATAGAGAAAGTCAAGGAAGAGAGTCGAAAAAGAAGGCAGGCCATCTTGGAGAAGCATAAAATGCAACAGAGTCAGCCGGAGGAGCCGGGTAAGTCGTTCCTTCTTGTAAACATATAAGCTAACGCTTTAAATTTCCAGCTGAAACCATGAAGGTTTCTAAGCCTTTAACAGCAGCAGAGCCAGATAGTGGTGAGGGTATTATTGACCCTTCGACCCCTTTATCGCTTGGGAAGTCTGCTCTCCCTAATGGGACGATTCTAAAAAGAAATGCAGGTGGTCTTGGAGAGGGTTCGCCACCAAAGGTGAGAATTTGCCTTCGTAAGAATTTACTAATTTCTAGTTCGTTACAGAGTGAAAAGCCAGCCGACATGTTCTGTGACATTTTTGGAGAGTCGCCTGCAGAAATTCGAAAAGCGGTAAGTTTCAGTTGTGTCTCTTCATAATTCTGAGAATTTGTGTGTGTAGGGAACGAGAGATACTTTGGCGATTGATACGAGTGGGCTTACGGATAATTGGGATGATGCAGATGGTTACTATAGTGAGTATGTGAGTTAAAAACTGATGGATGCTCATGTTTTACTTCGTGCAGCTTACCGTGTTGGTGAGGTTCTTGATAATCGGTATGAAATTGCATCGTCGCATGGCCGGGGTGTATTCTCGACTGTGGTGCGTGCAAGGGACACGAAAGCTGGTCGAGGAGAACCGGAAGAAGTGGCTATCAAAATTATCCGAAGCAACGAAACTATGTAAGTGTTGTCTTAAGCCTTTTTATCTTCATTTGATGCGTCTTGTTGTAGGTTCAAGGCAGGCCAGATGGAACTGATCATTCTTAACAAACTGGCTGGGGCGGATCTCGAGAACAAGCGGCATTGTGTGCGTCTTCTTTCCAGCTTTGAATACCGGAACCATTTGTGCCTGGTTTTTGAGTCTCTCCATATGAATCTGCGTGAGATTCTAAAGAAGTTTGGTCGTAATATAGGTATTAGTCTGGCTGCGGTTCGCTCTTATGCCAGGCAACTCTTCACTGCTTTGAAGCATTTGCGAAACTGTGGTGTTTTGCACTGCGATATCAAGCCCGACAATATGCTGGTAAGTGTACGTTTGCCGTACATACTGCGATTTAACGGCTTATTGACTTTACAGGTGAACGATTCTAAGAACTTGCTCAAGCTTTGTGACTTTGGTTCCGCAATGTTTGCTGGCGAAAACGAGATCACTCCGTACCTCGTGAGCCGCTTTTATAGAGCACCAGAAATCAGTAAGTGGTCTTTCTTTTCCTCTTTTCTGGATCTCATATTTCGTTGTTCCAGTTTTGGGGCTGCCGTATGATCACGCCCTGGATATGTGGTCTGTGGGATGCTGCTTATACGAGCTTTACACTGGCAAGGTTCTTTTCCCAGGCTCCACAAATAATGACATGCTAAGGCTTCATATGGAGCTCAAAGGGCCATTTCCCAAGAAGATGCTGAGGAAGGTGATCACCTTACCCTCCTTCTGTGTTGTTCTTTCATCGTTTTTTAGGCATTGACACCCTTGGCGTCGGGTGACAGATGGAGACTTAAGCTACAACTTAATCATGGGCTAGGCTGCTTTATGATTGGTGAGACGTGCAGTTTTATTCTGAGAGCTCACAGAATAGGGGGTGGGGTTTAGTTTGCCTGGTCCTTAGATCACTTGCTGTTGAGCATTTGCAAGGTTTTTGCGGACTTACATGTTTGTTTGTTCTGGCAGGCGATGTTCACCGCCCAACACTTTGATCAGGACCTCAACTTCCATGCCATCGAAGAAGATCCCGTGACCAAAAAGGTGCAGTTTTGTATATTTCCCGTCTATTCGTTTCTAGTTATCTGACATTGTCTTGTGTTATCTTTCCAGACGATTAACCGAATGATCACCAATGTCAAGCCCAAAGACATCTCGACACTCATATCCTCCTCGGGGGGGTCCGACGAGGATGCCAAGAACCTCCTCAATTTCAAACTTCTGCTGGAAAAGATTTTTATTCTGGATCCTGAGAAGCGATTGACTGTGTCTCAGGCACTCAACCATCCGTTTATCAACAAGTAGCAGGCAAGCAAGGCAGGCGAGACTGTATATATCCTCTTCTCATTTTGGCGTCCATGCCACAAGACGAAACGAGACAACGAAAAGCTCCGGTTTTTACATTTAGCGTAAGAAAGTTTCTCTTTGTATTAGCTCGTCTAATCGTTCACAACTTTGCTTTTGAAGGGGGCTGGAACTTCCCTGCTTTCCTAAAAGTTCTCTCTAGAGATTATATCAAAGCGTCCAGGTTTTACTTGCAACGCTGTTCTTCGCCTTCTAACTTTCGTTGTTCCAGAGAGATAACCAAGAAAACGCAAACAAAATTTTTTTTTTTTGATCGATCCATCAAATCGGTTTCAATGTCGTGTGTAAAGAATGCGATCATCGTCGCACGCGAAGTCTATCCACTGGTAAAGCTATTTTTGGTCCCCTTGTCTCCGATTGGACCGTTGGATGGGCAATCGGACGGTTCTAATTGTTCCACTTGTACGATTCCGGGTTTGAGTTTAAATCACTTGGAATCGTGCCTAGGGTTCTCGAAAATTTTCCATTTTTCGCAATGAATCGTCTGGCAGTGTTGTCCGCGCATTTGAAATCGCCGCAGGAGGGAGAACCGGGATCCGGCATCGAGGCATCGATCGTCTCTGCCGCCAGCGGATCGCGACCAGCTGCTGGTGGAGGTAGTGGATCGCTCACAGTTGTGGACAATCGAACAGGGAAGAAGTATGAGTTTGCTATCAGCGATGGCGGCACGGTGAATGCCACGGATTTTAAGAAGGTATTGATATTTCGCCCTGATCGATGTGGTGAGATTACTTTCTTGGTTCTTTTCCAGATCAAAGCTGAAGGTGATGATAATGGCTTGAAGCTGTATGATCCGGGATACCTCAACACGGCGCCTGTGCGTTCTTCCATTTCTTACATTGATGGGGACAAAGGGATTCTTCGCTACAGGGGATATCCGATTGAGGAATTAGCGGAACACAGCACTTACCTAGAGGTCGCGTATCTATTAAGTAAGTCTCTATTTTTCTTTGATCGGTTGCGTGGTGTAATTCCTGTTTTATTTCTCAGTGTATGGCTATCTCCCGACTAAAGCACAGCTCTCGGATTGGGAAGCCACGATTATGCAGCACTCTGCTCTACCTGAAGGAGTGCTGGTATGTGAAAATATATCTTTCGCTTCTTTTATTCTTTAGCCTGTGATTGACAACTTTGCTACAGGCTGTTATATCTGATTTGCCTCATGACGCTCACCCGATGGGAACTCTTGTTGGCTCCATATGCGCTCTTTCTTCTTTTCATCCTGATGCTAATCCAGCACTTCGAGTAAGTTGTTTCTGTTTGTTTTCTTTTTTGATGGTATTGTATCTTTGCTATGACACTCTTTCATTGCAGGGGCAGGACCTTTACAAGTCAAAGCCCGTTCGTGACAAGCAAATTGTTCGCATTATTGGCAAGGTAACCATCGAGATTCGTGGACGTTAGAGTTTTTAAAAATGACTTCATTGCCAGGTCCCCACTTTGGCAGCTGCTGCCTATCTGAGAATGGCGGGCAGGCATCCCGTGGCGCCATCCAATTCTCTTTCCTATGCCGAGAATTTTTTATACATGCTGGACTCAATGTAAGTCCAAAAACTTGGCAGTGAACCAGAGCTTGATGCTTGTGAATTCCACAGGGGTGATCGCAATTACAGGCCTAACCCGCGGCTTGCAAGAGCCTTAGACATTCTTTTCATTCTTCATGCTGAGCATGAGATGAATTGTTCTACTGCTGCTGCTCGTCATCTCGCATCAAGGTAAGGGAGTCCACTTGTTTCGTAACTGTAAAGTTCTAATTGCTACTATAGTGGCGTAGATGTATACACCGCAATTGCTGGAGCGACCGGCGCGTTGTATGGTCCCTTGCACGGAGGCGCCAACGAGGTATGATCAATTGAAACTGTTGTGTGAAAACATCTTGCTGGGTTATGGTTGCAGGCAGTGCTGAAGATGCTCAGTGAAATTGGTACAGTCGAAAAGATCCCAGAGTTTATCGAGGGAGTCAAGAACAGGTATTTGGAAGCTTATACCGCTTAAAGACTTGACACATCTACTTTACAGAAAGCGGAAGCTTTCCGGTTTTGGGCACCGAGTTTACAAGAACTATGATCCCCGCGCAAAGGTTTTTTCTCCTTTGATATCCGTCTTTCTCAGCTCACTTGCTGCATTTTTTTCAAACCGTAGGTGATAAAAAATCTTTCGGAGGAGGTATTTTCAATCGTTGGACGTGATCCACTGATAGAGGTAACGTCTCTAATCATCGTAAGATGTTATCAATTTGTTCTACAGGTTGCCGTTGCATTGGAGAGAGCCGCGCTCTCGGACGATTATTTCGTGAAGAGAAAACTCTATCCCAACGTGGACTTCTACTCGGGACTAATATACAGGTAACCTCCACATCGTTTTAGAGAATCTCACAACTTTTCGTCGCAGAGCTCTGGGATTCCCATCGGAGTTCTTCCCCGTCTTGTTCGCCGTGCCCCGGATGGCTGGCTACCTCGCGCACTGGAAAGAGTCGCTCGACGATCCAGACACGAAGATCATGCGTCCACAGCAGGCATGTCTCATATGATCTTCACGCTAAAATCCTCTTCTCTGTTTCCTTTTTTCCTCGCAGTGGTACATTGGCGAATGGTTGCGTAAGTACATTCCACTCTCGAATCGCTCGGTGGAAACGACGGCCGAGAAGCTGGGCCAAATTTCCGTGTCAAACGCTACAAGGAGGCGTTTGGCTGGCGTTCCCTCTTCTTAACATAAATCACTACATTAATAAACAATAATTTCCAGGCTAAGGCAAATTGGTTTAATAATTTAGGGTTAGATAGCTATGGCGCTCCAGCGATCGCGCGATCGGGGCTCCTACCGGATGTATCCCCCGCCGCCGCCATCCGTGCCGCCAATCCTCGCGGCGGGGAGCCCGGCGGCGCCTCCGCACATTCCAATGCCGCCTTCTTTCCAGTATCATCACCACCAGCATCAGCAGCAGCCGCAGCAGCAGCCCCCGCGGCAAAATCACCACCAGGTACAAGCGTCTCCTCATCCTCACTCCTATCACCAGCCGCGAGAGGTTCTTCTTCACGGCGGCGGCGCCGCTGGCGTGCCGGCTGTTCTTGATCTGGCCATGGCGGCATACCGGCAGCGAGCGGTGCCGGCGCCGCCACCCCAGTCTAGCCACGGGATTTTGGCCCCCCAGCAGCAGCGGCTCCAGCCCTCTCCCGGCTGGGACGAGAGGAATTTTCGGAATCATCATCTTCTTCCGCCAATGCCGCATCAGGGGCCGGAGATGCGTATCGATTCTAGCGTGGTGCTAGACGGGAGGTTTCCACCGGATAGTAGATTAGCACCGAGTAGCGCAAACTATAGGCCGCATGCTTCCATGGCGGACTCTCCACACGACAGGAACGTATACTGGCAGCCTCCTCCCAGCAATCTCTACTCGGCCGAGGTGATGGTTCCCAGAGCTTACCAGCGGAGGACTCCATCGCCATTGCGTGGTAGCGATCGCCGGTTTGTGGAAGTCGAGAGCGGGCATTTGGCGTCCAGGTCCATGGTGAGCTCGCCGCGGCCACACTACGATCGAGAGGTACGTAACAGGAGCCGCGAGAGAAGCCCAGCTCGGTACCAGAGAGCGTCGAGGGTGGTGGAGCGGAGCTCTCCATTGCCGGCGAGGCAGAGCTACGAAGGGCGACGGCATTATCACAGGGAAGATGATGATCGTGAGGATGGACAGCTTACGCCGGAGGATAACATCAGGAGGAAAGTGTATGGGCGGAACTCAATCACCAAGTATCACGACCACTCGCACTCGACGTCGGATTCTCACGGCCGGAACCAGAGAGTTCATTCGCAGCAGAAGAGGGAGCGGCCGGCATGCAAGGAGCTTGGCTCTCCGGTTAAGAAGTCGAGGTTTGATGTGCGACCTCCACTGGTGGAGATGCCTGGGGAGACCAGCGTAAAGAAGCTGACCGTCACGGGACACAAACAAGCTCCTAAAGACCATCCGGCTCGAGATTCTCGCAGTCCGCAACGCACTCCGAAAGAGAAAGAGAGAGCGCCCAGCCCTGTTCCAAAGCTTCACACGGTTGGAAAGTCGTCCTCGGCGAAAGCTTCTATCCCGACTCCGACTCATCCTCAGCCTTCGTCATCCCAAGTACAGAAAAAGCTCAAGGAAATACCAGAGAAAACCTTGCTCGCGAATACCACGGAAGCTCCGACTGATCCCGAGCCACAGGAACAAGCAGCTGTGGCGTTGGAACCCCGCCAAGCCAAGCACTTTGAAGCTGTTACGGAAAACGGACAAGCGAAGGAAGCTGATGTTGATATTCCGGTAGCGGCAGTGGTAGAGAATGGGGAACACGTAGATAGCGTACTGGGAACTTCGTTAGTATTAGCGGACGGAACTGAGAAACCGACATCGTTAGAATTAGCGCAGGTACCTGAGCGTGCTGCCCGGGAGGAGCAGCACACTACTGCACCAGCGGCGAGCACAATTCAAGCGTTAGTCGACCATTCACAGAAGGTTATGTCTTCTTCCGACGAGCGCAAGCATGGCTCGAAGCAGGCTGTATTAAGTATAAGGAAGAACCCGTCCATGCCTGTGGCTTTCAAGCCGCGAACTACGGCTACGTCGAAGACATGGCATAGAGATGGGAACGCTCCAGGAACCTCGAAGCTTTCGAACGTGTTTACCGCGGGCAAGTCCGGTGAAGCGTCTACGTTAAGCACTGCGCCATCTTATGTTCGGAAAGGCAACAGCCTGGTCAGAACATCGCCGGTCTTGCCCAAGTACACGGGATCTCCTTTACGAACTGCCGTGATGAAGAAACCGACTGTGCGGAAGTCACCAATCTTGGCAGCGGGTCCATTATCTTCTGGGGATCAAAACCAACAGGGTAAAGCAAATGCTACGTTGGATTCGTCGAAAGCTCCAGTAGAAATTATCGATCTCGATCCTGAAGTACCCAGTAGTACAGCTCTAGACTCGTCAAAAAACTCTTCGGGTGTTGGGGAGCTCGACAAGCAGAACAGCGTTCCTGGTGAAAATAGCGGCACGATACGCTCCAAGACCAGTCCGCTTGTGGTTTCACCATCTGGGGAACACGACCACTGTAAACCGGACGTGTACGTCAAACGGAAAACCAATCAGCTAGTTCGAAATACAGAAAGTTCTCGCAAGCGAGAACAGAGCTCTGAAGATCTGCCGGTGATGAAAACCAAGCTAGGAAAAGGTGATGACCCTTACCAAGTTCTGCATTTTCTAATGTTTTCTCCTTGGCAGCTTTGCGGTTGAAGAAGAATTCGTCTTCTTGGGTGTGGACGCCGAGTGATACCCACAAAGCACCACACTTAATGCCTTGGAAGAAACGGCTTTATAGAAGAGTCCGAACGCGTAGGCTGGAGGTTCTTCCTAAAGGGAAGAAAGGCTCGTTGCTATCGCTTATAAGGTAAGCTTTCCTGAACTCTTATGCCATCTTGTTTGTCAGATACATAGTTTGAAATGGCAGCGAAAAGCTTCGGGTATTACGGACGTCACAGCCTTTATATACTCGCTCTGCAAATGGCTTTTCGCTGCATAGATCTGGTGTTCGTAGCGTTGACGGTGCCAGTCTTAAATGGACAAAGTCACTCGAGAAACGCTCTCGGCAAGCAAACCAGGTATGCATGCAAGGTAATCATGTTACATGAAGCTGTAATACACAGGACGCTACGAAGGCGGTGGCAGCTTTGGAGAAACATTGCCGGAAGAAAACTGATAAAGGAGGCGTCAAAGCTGGAACATCACGTAAGTTGATACTGGTTCTTCCATCGATATATATCGTTTGTAATCCACAGGCGAGCGCATTGTCCTGGTCGGGCTTGTACGATACAAGATGGACCCGTCGAAACGAACACTGCAGCGGATACAAGGTGCTTTTGTATTCTCGGTCATCTAAGCGTGTCTGACGAAATATGGCCTTGCAGAGTCGTCTGAAAACTCTAATGTCTCGAGTTCATCAACTGGCGCTTGGGGCTTGTTGACTCCAAGGCGTGCATCGATTGGAGGTGCAGTGTAAGTTGATGTGGTCAGCCTGTTTCGGTGGTTTCTCACTTTCCGCTGTAAGCAGCTACGTGAGAATGGGAAATGGCAACCAGCTTGTGCGGGATCCAAAGGCTTCGAGCAGGGCGTTGGCAAGCGAGAAAGTCAGATGGAGTCTACATAATATCAGGTCCCGTGTCATCAAGAAGCAGCAGTACTGCCAGTTCTTTACAAGATTTGGCAAGTGCAAGAAGGGAGATGGAAAATGCCCCTACATTCACGACGCTGGTAAGGTGGCGGTGTGTACCAAATTCTTGAAAGGTTCCTGTTCGAACGTAAGCTGTCTCTTGACACACAAGGTACGCTCTGCGCTTGATGTGCTTGTCGGAAAGAATGGTTGTTCGTACAGGTCTTACCGGAGAGGATGCCAGACTGCTCTTTCTTTCTACAAGGTTGGCCAGGGTTTTGTTTCTTTTTCTTCTTCTTCTTCATGACTGGACGTGCAGGCTTGTGCATAAACGAGGAATGCCCCTATCGGCACGTGAATGTGAATCCAGATGCTCCAGTCTGCGAAGGCTTTCTAAAAGGGTACTGCGCGAGCGGTGATCAGGTCGTCTCTATTTTTCCCCGATTGAAGTTTAACTCTGGCTCTTACTTTTGCTTCCAGTGCAACAAGAAACACACGTACGTGTGCCCCGCCTACGCTGCCACCGGAGAGTGCCCGGAGAGAGCAGCATGCAAGCTCCACCATCCCAACAAGAAGGAGCGCACCAGAGAGGTAAGCACCAAAGCAAGCACCAAGGGCGAGAAGAAGCGGCGCTACTTTGTTGGCTCGGAAATACCCCCTCGCCCGCTGGCAATGGGATCGTCGTCTCAAGACGTGCCCGGGAACATAGACGCAGGGGTGGAGTTCATCAGTTTGGAAGGGATTAGTCTGGACGGCGTAGAGAGGGATACAGACTCCGGGGACTCACGGAAGCCTCGGGTGCGAGAGGATGGCCTCTTATGGTTCAACGATATGTCGGAGGAAGAGGTGGAGAGGCTGATAAAGCCAGCGTTCGTGTGGCAGTCCCGCGAGCTCCTCCAAGTGTAACTTCTACTTCTCCGATCGTTCGCGAAGTTTGGAATGGGGTATAGGCAACTAGATAATCGAACAAGGCGGGGGAGCGAAATTCTTTGCAGGAAGGCAGTGCAGGGCGAGGAAACTGTTTCTTCCTTCCTTTTGTGTTTTTTTTTTTTTTTTTTTTTTTTTTTTGATGTGTGTGTATAATCCAACATCAAGAAAAGGTGACAAATCTAAGTAATCTTCCAAGATAGCGATGTTTTCGCGTCTTGCTTCTAGTTGCTAAATCAAATCACCGATAAACTTCCAAGTTTATAACATCCAGAGATTCACACTTTGAGTGATAACAGCAGTATTAATAAATCCAGGGCCACTGTCAAATCTCTGGATCAAGTTTGAGAGCACCCCAAGAGGAAGCCCAGGACAACCTCGCTTTCCTGATCCAAACGGAAGCAACTCAAAGTCATGGCCATAGACGTTGATATTGCTACCAACAAATCTCCCAGGCCTCAACTTGCCCGGATCATTCGGCCAAGCCTGGGAGTCCCTTCCAATCGCGTATGCTTTGATGACCACGGTCGCCTTTGCTGGAATCTCAAAGCCGGCCACTATTCGAGGCTCCGGGGACGTGTGCGGGATCAGGGGATGAAGACGAAATGTCTCCTTGATAACAGCGTTGACAAGTTCCAGCTTCGCCAAGTCCGATTCCTCCACCATTCGATCTCTCCCAACCACGCTTTCAATCTCTTGCTAAAGTTTCTCCATCCACTCGGGGTTGTGAAGAAGTTCGGCCATAGCCCATTCAATCATGGTTGACGATGTCTTGGAAGTAAATCCTAGTAAGAGAAGCACTGAGAAAAGCTTAGATCAAATCAAGAGTTCTGAGCTTACCATGAGCAAAGCTTTGAGGTACTGGGTCACTTATGCCTTCGTCATCTCCACAAAATCGGGAACCGGTCTCTGCTCGTTCAAACTTGGACCAAGAACGCATCCATCTTGCTGTGAGCTCTTCTACAGTGGGTTATGCTCCACACTGGGGAGTAATCAGCTATGGAGAACGCCCCGGATGCCTCTAGCACCTCGTCAATCAGCTCCACAAATTCCCACGCCTGGGGCTCATCGCTGGAAGCCTTGGATCCAAAGTAAGTCTTGTTCATGAGGATTAAAGCTCATTGGTCTCAGCTTGCCTTCCAATGCCACTAGCTGATTGGAAGCCTTGGCAAAGCTCGTCCCGGATGATTTTGGTGAACGAGTTGACCCTTCTGGCCATGAAGAGGTGACCAGGCCGTGAAGATGGAGCACATGCACTCAATGTTCTTGTGGTACTCACCCTCTTGGACTTCTACTGTGAACGAATGCTGCCTATAAACTTCAAGCTTTTTGAAAAAAGAAGCACAGAAATCTTTTGTTATATCACTCCAAGAAGTTGGCTTTAAATTAGTTTTGATGTAATTCTTCCACCATGAAGAAGTATAATTCATAGGATTTGTCAGAAAAAACTAATCTTCACTTTGTCCTCACAAAAGTTGTGAAATTAATAATTGTCCCATAACTCCAACCAACAATTAACCTTTTATATGTTATAAACATTTTGATATTATAATTATTGGCATGCTTACACAAATACAAGATTAATTCAATCTTTAGGGGTTCATGTGAAACAGGAAATCCTTAATGAAATTGATAAAATATTTAATATCCTTAATAAGATTTGACGAAATCTAATGTTATTCTAAACCTAAAAAATTTAGCTGCAACAACATTAAGTCTTTTCCTCTTCATCATGGCTATTATCCTCGTCAGGATCTATATCCCACTCTTTTGTCATCCCTAAATGAATGTGCTGCTCCCAATCTTGATTGAAACAGCAGCAATGTTAGAAACTTTCACCGTGTCAAGAACTAGAGCCCTAGCAACTGTTGGATGCGATTTGGAGTGTGAGCATTAATGGTTAGGCTATCAAATATTTTTAGAATATTCCTGTGGTTCAGAATAGTGCACGACATGTCTATTTCAATGCATTTCTACTCAATTTCCTTATGGTGTAGTTTTCATCTGTACATTCAAGGTCCAAGCTCTTTGGAATCTGTTATCTGGAAAGCAAGAAGATGGTGATGGCATTATTCACAATTAAGATGGCATATGTACCATCATCTTCCACGGCAGAGGCAGCTGTCCTTAGGCCATTATATATTGGGAGAAATGTCTTCACTTTTGGACAAGTATTGTAAACCACATATGATTTGTTTCAGGCATACAACCTTTTCTTCTTCTTCTTATTGTGGGAGCACATTGCTCGCTTCCAACTGTTCAAGCTAGGGTAATGTCATGTTGCTCCCATCTTAATCAAGCATTTTGAAAGCTTTAGAACTATTAACGTGATATCCCAATAAGATTGTGTTTACAGTCCATTTGTACCCAACTGAGTATGGACTCTATTCTATGTTAGTAAACAAACGAGGTTCTTTGTCTCGATCTTTTTGTTTATGGATTCATGATCAAGGTGGCATAACTTCTGATGTTAGTAATGTTCTTCATGAAACCTTGGTCTCTACTGAAAGGGAAAACTATGTAGTGGAGCTCAAGATCTCTCATCCCATATATCCGTAACATGTACAGAGTGGTTTCCCAACCCCAGGGAGTTCCAGATTACATGGGATATATTTCCCTAATGTTTGCTCTCGGCCAATGGGAGTGCGGCACAGCCTGGGTTGCCATTGGCTGGTTGCCGAACTTTGTGGGCTACTCTGGCCAATTGGAACTGTTGGATAGGAGGTGACACACCTGAACAGCAGCTAGTTAGAACGAAGACGATCATTGACAACATCTATGTAACCTTTAAATATGAAAGGATAGGTTAAATACAATTTTTACGTGCCGACTCTTCTAAAGATTAGGCGGTCAATCTTAACTAGACTAAAAAACCCCCTGGAAGAATATTCTTTGACGAACTGCTATGCTCGAAATTAAGGAGCTATTCGCGCGTGTGACGTTACTTGGGTAACCTTTCGCATGAATATGTCAGATTTTTCGTTTTGCATGAGTTCTTGCTGACTTTAAACACAAGAACAATAAAAAAATTTATTTCATTTGAAAACTAAGTTCAGATGAGGACAAAGTCGAAGATATTATGTGGCTCGCACTATTTCTCTGGCTGACGGAGCTCACAGTGATGTGTCTATGCTTCCATGATCATCCTCATCGTGAGAATGGCAGCAACCACTCAAGCACCAAGCGTGATTGCGCGAGGACAGCAGGCATTTGCGAGAAAAAGACGATGGCTACGTTGTGATATGGGCGATGAGACGCTTTGGCGCCTTCCTCATATAAATCAAGCTTTTTAGACAATAACAACATTCTACCCAGCTGCCAATCTTCGTCTTATAACCCTTCTCCACAAGTGGCTCTCTCTCTCTCTCTCTCTAGGCACGCCATGATCAAGGTGGCCTCCCTTGTCATCTTACTGTTCTTCCTGCAACCTTGGCCTGGTTTTAGCGTGACGACCCGGGAGAGCAGGCATGTGGGACGCTTCTCCCAGTTCGAAGCCAGGAGGATTACAAATGCCATCTCCAATCGCATCAAACAGCTCTCCTACTACTCCTCATACAGCTCAGGCAGGAGCTTCAGCTATACGTTCATGGTCACGGACAGGATCAAAGCCTCGATACGCCTCTGGTTCTTCAGCATCGCCCCCTCCAGGATTTACACCTTGTGTTCCATCTCGCCCGATAAGTCCATGATCTTGTCCACCCAAACCTTGCAGCAAGCATACTGGGAGATTTTCAGCACCATCTACACCGAGTCCCAAGCTCACGGGTATGGATCCATGATCGTCTTCTCCAAGCTCTTTGCCATTGATTACATCTCTTGGGAGGGACAGCCGGACAAAGAGGAGCTTTGGAGCGTTGAAACCACGGACAACTCGAGCTTGGATGGCCATGATCTTTGGAACGAGTCAGCTTTCTCTTTGCTCCGCCGGGACGCCGTGCCTGGCGATCCGGACCTCGCCGTGGAGGACTGCTGGCCTTTTGCGACGAGCATGATCAGCGGGCATGGATCCGTCGGCTCCTTCTTCATGGGTCCGTACATCTTGGAGTCGAAAAACCAGAAGTTCAAGGCCTTGATCAGGAGCGACTGTTACTTCGTCCTCTACGAGTGGCGTGATGGCCTTGATGGCAAGAGGGAGGTGTGGAACAGCGGGAGGGTCATGAAGAACCGGCGTGCATCGTGTTCCATCAGCCTCCAAGTCGATTCCAATATGGTTATTGTGGATAATTGGGGAAGAAAGCCGCAGTTTGCCTTCGCATTCAACGTCTACTGCAAGCCACAGCCGAATTGTGTTAGAACGGCCGGGCTCTCGGTGGAGGACGACGGCTACATTGTGGTGTGGGAGACAGACAACCAACGCGAGCTCTGGCGTGTTCCTCCCAGATGACAATGGAAAAAGCTTGCCTTAATAATCCTGGCGCATGGAAAGTTTGCGGCCCAGGACAATCTCGCCGCCGCTCAAGTTGCTCTGTAAGTCGACGGCGGATTTTCATTATCTGAAACCCTTTAAGTTAGCTTGAGTTTTTGAGAATGACTAGAGGTTTCACTTAGCTTACTTGCATCAGACGGCTAGAAAACAGCGAGAGCCAGCAAGCAGCGGTCTCGGTGCTCCTGCTCGCAGGCAAAGCTTTCCCTGCTTAAAGGCTCAATGCAATATAAACAAAAGTACCTCCGGCATCTAAACAAAGATGAGAAACCCGAGAAAGCTTGATGGCTCGTCATCAACAAGAGCATCCCCCTCTAGAGAAGTTTTCCTTGCATCCTGGCATCCTGAACTTTCTTACCCAGGTCCCAGTGAGGCTTCTGAATGACCGTGCTCCTATGCATCTTAGAAAAAAGTTAAGCGAGAAGGCGCACATACATCAAAAGTTCGCTTTGGAATTCTCGGGCAAAGTCGGGCTCCCCTTCATCCTGAAGTAGCATAGAAGAAATCCTTTTAAGTAGAACCTGTACTAAGGTATAGCAACGAGTTCTAACTTCTTCAAACCATCTTCAAGTCCATCATCTTTTCAGGGAGAGGGGTTCCATAGCCAACCCCATAAAATGGAACTATCAACTAGTCTATGTGGCAAGAACAACATTACTTGTTTCTGCCTAATAGGAAAGAAAGAAGAGTGCAAAAAACCCGATTTTCACGTAGATGGGCTTCGGCCTTTCAGAGGATGAACTTGATACGAATATGCTGGCATAGCATATTCTCCAGAGTTCTCTAAAGGCGCTGTGAGAGTAGGGTGTGTTTTCCTTTGTAGCCTCTTGTGATGAACAAGACCCTGTTCATCCTTATCATGGTATCGGAGCACTAGTTTTTCTTGGATGGATTCAGACAAAGACGTTTTGGAAGTTTTTGATGGCAGAGATTTCCATGGATGGCGAACTCAGGTGCAGTTTTTCTTCATGGAGAAGAACCTTTGGGATATAGTCTCTGGGACAGAGGCATGTCCAGCAGCGACAGAGGTTGCAGCCGAGAAAGAGTGGAACAGACAAAACACTCGAGCTCTTGGAATCCTTGGACGCGCACCTTGACACATCCCTGACAGCCAACGAGAACTGGGAAGCACTAAAGACAGTTCTTGGCCGAACCAACAAGACCAATCTAATAGATGAAAACCAAGTTCGGCAGCGAAGGATGAGTCCATTCAAGATTATGCAAGTCGTTTGAAGGATACAGCGAAGCAGATCGACACTCTTCAATCTCCCACCAAAACCTTTGATGAGGTAGTTAACGAGATGTTGGCACTGGAAACCCTGCTAGGAGGATCTCAGTTTCTCGATGAAATCCCTCGCGATTTGGCTATGTTTGAATGGTAGCGTACATGCGCAACCCTCCAAAGGCAAAACAGCCGTACTTGTTATGGAGCCTCACCGGAACGAGTTTAAGCTCAGCCACTGGAAACTGCGCAGGATTTAGGAAGGGGAAGCAAGTCGCCAATTACGCACGAGCAGAGCAAGACGCTGTCACTGATGGTAGCTTGTTCATGGCTCAAGCTGTAGCAGAGTCAAATTCCCTTGCACCCAACACTCCAAGAACAGAGGTGATCTGGTTGACAGTGGAGCCAATCAACATATGACTCATCTCCAAAGCCTTTTCTCGACGTTCCAGACGGGAAGC